AGGAAAAAAGATGAAAAAGTATGTGTAGTTGCTTATATTTTAGCATTGACTCAAATAAAGGATGTAGTTGGATTTTGGAGTTTCTTATATGGCTTGAGAGTTGATCGAAATAGGGTATGGATTGATTTTGTTGGGTTTGATTATGATTGGTGGGTGATGAATTGGTGTAGTTCATGTTTTGTAATTCTATATGCTCGAGTATTCGTCACTTTACCTATATTTTTCCTACCCTAACCAAAGAGCCTACATTACAACCAAATAAAAAGTCTTTTTTGATTCATGAAATGCATGCACAATAAATGGTGGAGATAGTAGATGATTTGCAAGCTTATGGTAATTCCTTGACATTGAATTGACTTGAGCGATATTTCCCTATATACTTTTGAGAGTGAGAGTATACACTTATCCGGTGAGGTTTGTGGATTGAAAGTATTGACCATGATTTTGATGATGCATTCTTTATGTTTAAGAATTTTGGATCTTAGCTATGTTATTTGTCCGATGCCTATTGAAAATGTGTATAATTAAACTTTGAGAGTGTGATTGTTTTTACTTGTGTGTTGGTAGGAGTTTGATGCATTGATCGGGACTATCAATGGTTTAAGTTTGGGGGTTTGTTCATGTGTGATTTTACACCATATTTATAAAGTATTTAGAGCTTCGTCATTGCACTATTGGTGTATAAATTGCATATTTGTGCTTTAATTCTCTATTTGTTGGAAAGGTATTACGCGTGCTTGTTTTGTAGATATTTTCACATATTTGTAGAGCTTGTGGCTATTGGAGGCGCACGTGGAGTACCTAGGATCCCCGGGATGATGAAGGATTGATGCACGGATGAGAAAAATGGAAGAAACGAGCAAAACGGACAAAAACGTGCATGTTGGGGTGTGACACGGGCAGCGACACGGGCATCATGCCCGTGTCAGAGACCATGTCACGTAATTGGGAGGATTACGAAGCTACAGACCTGACACGACCCGTGACACGACCCGTGACACGGGCGTGTCTGGTCGTGTTGCGCACGCGGAAAGTTTTTAATCTCTTGCCTTTTTGGATAAAGAGAGGAGTTTTGGACATTAAAAAAGGCATATTAACTCTATTCTGAAAGAGAAAAAAAGGTAGAGAACACAAGGAGAAGTGTTTGGAACACATAAGAGAGGCAATTGGGAAGAAGAGAAGATTAACCACAGATTTCTAGTTTTTCTTTCTCTCTTTTGAACTTATTTTTTCTCATGATGATTTCTAATATGTCTATGTATTTGAATTCAAAAATGAGTAGCTAAATTTCCTTGATTCTAAGACATGGTAGTAGATTAATAGTTTGAGATTTTTGGATGATTTATCATAGTTGATTGTTTTCTTTTGAACCCTATTGAAATATTTTATTCTTATTTCATGAATTGCAACTGGCCACTGCTTTTACATGTTTGATGATATTGTTCATAATTCGAGAGATAAGTTTAATATTAGATCTTTAATATTTGACACAATTTATTTGCTTGAATCGAGAGATTAGTAGATAGTTGTGAGGATTTTGGGTCTTTTAGGGTTTGACTGTTTATGAAATAATTTGTTCAAAATGAGTTATTTTGGTTAACCATAGTTAAATTTGAAAAAGTAGTATAGTTAGGTGTTAGTGGAATTTTAAGAATATATTAAAATAATATTTAAAATAAAATGAGTAAAATTGATTTGATGTAATAGTAAGAGATAAATGATTGGAAATGATTAAAAATGATAGGTTGTTAAAAATATGCGAGTGAATGAATAGTGAATTAAAGTTGATGTGATGTGTAAGAATGATTGGTTTGTATTATTTAATTATATGAATAATATTAAAGATAGTGAGGCTGAGTTAAAATTTAGTTAAATTTTGAGTTGAAATAAAAATGAGTAAATTAATCCATAAACAAGCAAGCCAATCTTTTTGGAGTCGAATTGCATGTGTTGAGTGGGGACGCTAATATACGTGATTTAATCTACGGTTTTATCGATCTCGAGAGAGACGATAAGCTAAATGTGTGATCGTCTTATAGGGTAGATAAAGAAAACATTTAATTGTGGTATCTTTGAAGGAATCCTAACTATTAATTGAACCCAACGTCTTAGAATCTATCGTTCCTATATATTTTCTCACGTGTTGATCTAGCTAGTTCTTTATTTTTGCTTTATTTCCTTTCATATATTTTATTAGTTTAGTTAATCAATCTCAATTACGGTCGTCTAAATAAAGTTGACACTATCATAATCTAGTACTTGATTAATTAATTATTTGGTCTCTTGGGATACGACCTTGCTTGCCACATACTACGAGCGAAGCCGTACACTTGCAGTCGAGCTTTAAAAATATAGGCGAACATCTTCCGACTCTCTCGTTCGTCAGATCGATAAATATTCAGGTTCTGATTCTGTCCAAATAATTGGCTCTGGGCCTACAGTCGAGCGAGAGGTTCCTATCCATGCCATGTCTAACTCTTCTGACGGGGACGTCGACTAGGACGAGTATAATCAAGCGCTTCTGTCGGGCGCTTTAGCTGTTGAACTTCGAAATTCTTCTCAAAATGAGAGCTCTTCTCGCCTAAGCCTCATTCCCCGAGATATACCTCTTAGGTTAGATATTCCTATATTATATAACAAGTTTTATTTCTGTACCAATAATTGCTCCTATTCCCGAGCCTCGAAATCTTGTAACATTAGCCTGTCCATTAGTTAAGTTAACTGTTCTAAATCCGTTTTCTTATGCCCCTGCAGCCGAAATCGAGGGCTTTAGGTCGTTCAGCGGACTTCCCTCCGACTGGGAGTTGATTGCTCGTCGCCCTAATGATAATTTTTCCCATCCTCCCCCGGTTGTTATACGTTATTTGTCGACCAAATAATGTTCAGCTTGCGTTTCCCTATCCAGCCTGAACTCATGTCCATTAGCAACCTGCATAGTGTACCAGTAAATCATTTTTTACCCAACTCCATTCACATTATGGTGGCCTTCATTATTGTTTCCAAATAAAATTTAGCCATCTTTTGCCCGAGTTTCTCTTCTATTGCTACGACTACCGTTTCAAGGACGCCCATTGCCTGGGTCGTCGTCGCAGTGTCAGCTTTCTTGACGACCTCTCCTTAAATGTCACTGAATGGAAAACCAAGTATTTCTATATCCGCCCCGCTTCTGGCCAATATCCTTTTACCAACACCTGGATAACCGACAAGGTCAAACAGCGTAAACGACCACGATCCTCCCAATTCGCGGCTATGTTATCCTAATTGATTTATTAGGATAAGACAAAATGTAACTTATATATTATTAAACACATTCTTGTACACAACATTATTTGTTTGGTCTTTTGGTACATCGTCTGTCACCACAAGTTATATTAAAATTTTAGATAGACTTAAATTATGAAGATTGAATAACCAAATATAACAGAGATTGTAAAGCGTCTCTCTTGATAATTTATAGCCTTATTGTTTTAAAATTGTAAATTACTTAATTTAAGGAAGAGAAAAATTGTGTAAGTGTGTGCAATCAAATTCAAATTTGTATTCTAGATGATTAAACAAAACCCAAATTTTTAAATGTTCCAATCCTATTTCATTTTGAATTTCAAATTAATATTATCCGACTCTGTTTTATGTTTAAAAAAAATATGAACTAAAGAAAGTGGTAGCCAAATGATAAGAGATTTTTATAATTTAAATTTCAATTTGAGATTGGGCCCCTATTTTTATGCAATTCGATTTTTTTTTAATAAACATGATCTGTTGCAATTAGGTAAAGATACATGTTATAGTATTTTGTCTAATTTGAAATTTCTGATTTTGTGGTAAATATATTATTTTTAATAAAAAAAGAGAGAATTTTTACTTGTACGAAATTGTCATGCCCAATTTTACCTAAATTAACCCTATTTCTATGCAATCCCTTTTTTTAATAAACAATTGATTTGTTGCAATTAGAAAAACAAAATATATATGATAGTATTTTGCTCAATTCGAAATTTTTGATTTTATGGTAATCAGTTTATTTTTAATAAAAAATGAGAAAAATTTTTGACTTTTGCATAATTGTAAGCCTCAGCTGAAATTTACCTAAATTAAATCAACAAAACCCATTGATTTAGGATGCATATATAACTGATTAATTTTTTTGGAAATAATTCAAAAAGAAAATTTAAAAACTACCAAAAATAGAATGCAATAAATGCTAGTTGATTTTTTTTGTTACTATTTTTGGTAAATAATTTTTCTTTTAATATAAATATAGATAGATATAAATATAGATATAGATATAGATTTCAAATAAATATCATTGTTTACCTATATAGTAATATAGATAGATTACTCATTTTATATAGAAAAATGATACACAGCCAACTTAGTTTACAACTAGGTTGACAACACAAGTGATGGATTACTCATTTTAATGATACACACTTGTGTATTTTTGTATTTTTATTTTTATGGATGTTTTTTATTTATTTTGTCAATTTAATTGTACACTAAATTGACATATGTGTATATGTGCACAAGATAATTATTAATTTTAAAAAGTTAGTATATATATTTTATTTGTTTATTGAAACAACCCTAGAAATAATATGTAACACGGTATTTTGACCAATTTATACGAAATGCGATGAGGAGTTCGTAGAAAAATCTAGAATGAAAATTAATTAAATTAAATTAAATTAAACAAAAAAAAAAAAAATGGGAAGATAAAAGGTGAAGCATTCTAGATCCTTCCACTTCTCCAAAATCACCGTAAGAACGCCATGCCTATTCTACGGCCACGATCTTACCACAATCAAATCTCAACCGTTGATATCTCCTCAGGTGCACATAAATAAATCCTCTCTCTCTCACCTGCTTCCTCCACTTTCGAATAGCCTTCTCTCTGTAGGTTTCCTTGCCGCATCTCGTTAATCTGCCGACGCGCGCCGATCGTACTCGGAGCGGATCAGTTTGATTCGAATCAAGCGGATTCTCATTCGAAGTGATCGGAGATGTTTGGGAGGGCACCGAAGAAAAGCGACAACACCAAGTACTATGAGATCCTCGGGGTCCCTAAGACGGCGTCGCCGGACGATCTGAAGAAGGCCTACAAGAAAGCGGCCATCAAGAATCATCCGGACAAGGGCGGCGACCCCGAGAAGGTATGGATCGATGGCTGTTTTACCATTTGTTTTCTGTATTTGGTTGGATTGCAATAGTTTTGATTGATGAAGCAGTCTGTTGGATTGTTGAGTTCGGTTAGCGTTGTGATTCATATAGATGCTACTTATCGAACTCTTAATATGTGAACTGGAGCTCGAGTTAGATGTTTGTTATGGTATATATCAATTTCGATTTAGAATAGTTAACTCTTTGACTCTTGGAATTATGTGTACGTGAATATGATAGCTTTGAGGTGTTGGATTAGGCAACAAGTCTGTTGATGATAGAAGAGAGCAGATTAATGTTTTAAGGCAACCAGGCTGTTGGATCCTTGAGATTTTTTATTTAATTGCTCTTGCTATTGAAGGATTTGGCATCATCGCACTATTCTTAATCAAATTGAAAGGATATGTATATTATTTTATTTTACTGACTCTTAAGGACTACTGGTTCACGAACTTTTTTCTTAGTGATACTGAAAATTATGGTTGATTGGGTATCTGAAATCCGTTGCTTATTGTTATTAAATGATCTTGATGTAGTGCTGCAAAATTAGGAGGTACAGAATACATCAAAAAGTTATTAAGTTACTCTTAATAAGTTACATCAAATGTTTTCTTGAAGAAGTGTTGAATTAGTGATGTCTGAGTCTGATTTACACACCTAAGATCTGTGTTTTAAATATCATAATATTGAAAGTTTAAACATATAGGTGGTTAGATGATTACCATGCAACTTGGTGTGTGAAGTCTTATTTTTTTATAATTCTAACAGTAACTATATAACTTGTTTTGTGTTGCAGTTCAAGGAACTTGCTCATGCTTATGAGGTCTTAAGTGATCCCGACAAGCGAGAAATTTATGACCAGTATGGTGAGGATGCACTGAAGGAAGGAATAGGCGGGGGTGGTGGAATGCATGACCCCTTTGACATATTCTCATCTTTCTTTGGCGGCAGCCCATTTGGTGGTAAGTCACTTGAACCCTCATGCTAATTTTCTTGACAGTATCTGCTATTCTTGTGTGTTTATAGATTATATATTAAACAAGAAACTAAATTCATATGCTGTATGCTGATGAGCAGGTGGTGGTAGCAGTAGGGGCAGAAGGCAAAGGAGGGGAGAGGATGTTGTACACCCGTTAAAGGTGTCTCTTGAGGATTTATACCTTGGGACAACTAAGAAGCTCTCACTTTCTCGTAATGTGCTCTGCGTGAAGTGCAAGGGGTGAGTTTTTAACCCTATTTCATGATGTTGAAGATCTTCATTGGGTGATTATGAATTTGCTTTTTTTTTTTTTTTTCATTGGTGCCTACATTTCCCTTTGCTGCTGTTTTGGATCTGTTAAAACTTATGTCAGCTATCTTACCATCCAACATAATGTAATTTAGGGTGTTGGCTTTCCCCATAGCTTCTTCCTAACTTCTGCTATTTTTCCTTAATGCTGTTTAGTGTTGTTGTTTAGCTATTACATTTTTTTGGTTTTGTTTTATTATGTTCTCTTTTATGTTGTAGATTTTACCCTTCCTTTGGTACATTTTTTTTTTTTTCAAAATGTTTTAAAGTTTTGTTGGACTCTTAGCCCAATTACTGCTCAATGATGGAGGGTACATCTTTTACAATTTAGTAACCTTTTTTCTTGTACTTATGCTTTGCAGCAAAGGGTCGAAATCTGGAGCATCTATGAAGTGCTCAGGTTGCCAGGGGACAGGTATGAAGGTCTCAATCAGGCAGCTTGGGCCTGGCATGATTCAGCAGATGCAGCATGCTTGTAACGAGTGTAAAGGAACTGGTGAGACTATCAATGATAAGGACCGATGCCCTCAATGCAAGGGTGAGAAGGTTGTTCAGGAGAAGAAAGTATTGGAAGTCCATGTTGAGAAGGGAATGCAGAATGGGCAAAAGATTACCTTCCCTGGGGAAGCTGATGAGGCGGTACGATTGTCTGAGTCTCATCGTTCGTATTTGACACTCATTATTTTTGCTCAGTTTGTGACAGTGGATGTGTCTGTCTCTTTGTTGTTCTGTTGCAGCCTGATACAATCACTGGGGACATCGTGTTTGTCCTTCAGCAGAAGGAGCATCCTAGATTTAAGAGAAAGGGTGATGACCTCTTTATAGAGCATTCCCTGACCTTAACTGAGGCTTTGTGTGGCTTCCATTTTGTTTTGTCCCAATTGGATGGCAGGCAACTTCTCATCAAATCTCAGCCAGGAGAAGTCGTGAAGCCAGGTTTGTACTTCGGAGTAATTCAACTATGAGGTTTTATTTAATAGTATGGAACACTATCATCTGTAGAAACATACAATAAACTTTTCCTACTGTGGAGTTGCCGAGAAACTTGAAGCACTTGTTTTACAAGGGTTTTGATTAGGTTTTTCTGTTTAACTGAATCTTTTTGCTAAGAACTTAGTGGGGGTCGTGTTTGTCTAATTACAATGTAGCATATGGTTATAATGAATAATTGGCTACTTAATTATTAGGTGGTGGTCACCTTGATGGTGTGAAGTTATCCTTGATGTTTTTGAAAATGTGACAGATTCATTCAAGGCCATTAACGACGAAGGAATGCCTATGTACCAGAGGCCGTTCATGAAGGGCAAGCTCTACATACACTTCAACGTTGAATTCCCGGACTCTCTTAGCCCCGAGCAAGTGGATGCTTTGGTGAAGATTCTGCCTGCAAGGCCTCACTCGAAGGTTACAGAGATGGAGCTGGACGAGTGTGAGGAGACGACTCTGCACGATGTCAACAACATTGAGGAGGAGATGAGGCGGAAGCAGGCCCAGCGGCAGGAGGCCTATGATGAGGATGATGATGAAATGGGAGGTGGTGGGGCCCAGCGGGTCCAGTGTGCCCAGCAGTGAGGGTTAACCCATGTTGGTTGGTTTTCTAAGAATTTGGGCTTGATTTTTGCTGTTATCCAACATTTTATTGTGTGTG